AACATTAATATGTATACTTATTAAATATATAGTTAAAAAATGATGTTCCTGATAGTAATTTCACTGAAGATCTTAATGATTATCCTCGAATACCAATACCTAGCTTATTAGAAAATATTAATCATAATGACGTTAAAGAAATATGGCAAATTAAGGGATTATTACTCCTGTAATTTATTATATTATTCTTCTAGCAGATGGTACTCATAAATGTACCTATATGTTTCTTATAAGTCGAGGCATTATATACAAGCATTTTTTTCAAATAATGCTTCTTTCGTTCTATGCAAAATTTCATATTGCACTTATACCTTCACGATGGTATCAAGAATCTATGCAACAAATTAGCCATGTTGATTTATTATTGAGTTATTTATATATTTCTTCAGCAATTACAACAGTTATTACAAGTTCATCAAAAGAAATGCATAATTCATTCAATTTGGAATATCTAAAGCAAATGAAAAGTAATAATATGATGAGTTCAGAATGATCGTATAATGTTAGTATAAAAATGAGATATTCAACTGGATTTGGAGTTTTCAAAAAAGCTCTTAATTTGGCTATTTCTTTGGACTGTGATGATGAATTGTTAAGCATTTTACATCGATTTATTGGAGATAAGCAAAAATCAACCACTAATTATTCTATGTCTAATAATGATAACAATGAAAATTACACAAATACAAATCAGGATTCTGATAATTCTTATGTTCCTATTCAAGTAACTGATCTGCTTGTAATTCGAAAAAAGAGGAAGACCTTCTAATCGGTTAAAATCATCAACAGAGTGCAATAATATAGTAAGTAAATACAAAAGACAAGCATTAACACCTTTAGATAAAAACATAGTATTGAGTAAGACAATATTCAAAGAATCTAATAATGCTTATATCGAGGTTAATCAAGATAATAAGCTTTTAACTGATAATCAAGTACACGAAGAAGGTGTAGTAAATAAATATAAATGCAGGGTTTGTGGTGGTTTTAGACATAATGCTCGAAACAAAAAAAAGTGTTCTCAGCAAAATTCTTCATAGAATTATAGATTTACGCACTGATTTAATTTAGAGTTAGATAATTAGTGCAAAGTTTATTGTATCTTCAAAGAGTTTGAACTATCTATATAGCTTTCTAGTTCAATATATACAGTATTTGATATATGTATAGTACGTAAAGTACAATTTATATATATACATATATACAATAAAACTTCAATTGTGACTAATTAGTTGAATAATCAGGTCAATCAGTTATTATTTAGATGAATATATTGTTAGATTTAAAGATAACTTTCTAACAAGTATATATGCACATGCATATGCATATATATGTACGTACGTACTATAAAAATTTAATAGTTCTGTGACCTTTGAAAAGACCAGTTTCATATTATGTATTATATATAGTACAAAAAAGCGAACAACTACAACTTTAAATAAAAGATAATTTTAATATAGCTATAGTACTTTTAGTAAAAGTTTTAAAAATAATTGCTTTAAACTATATTCATATAATTATATGCTTCAAATAGTTAAATATTAAAGCTTGTAATTTTATCGACTATTATACAGTCACATGATCCGGCGATGATTGCTAGTGATGGCAATTAGAAAAGTTCTTTATTTTATTAACATAATTCATTTTAGCTAATTTTTAATTTTTGGCTTTAACTATTAGTGTATATAGAAATAATAATAAAGTGATACTAGAACAAAATAAAGTAATTTGAATTTTAATTTGTTTTTAATTTTTTTTTCTCAGCTTTAGGACTTTAGCTTTTTGGTAATCCATTTCTTTTTTAATTTTTATAGTTATGTCTGAGATTAAATGTTTTCTCTATTAAATTTACTTTTGCTAATTTTTAATAACTTTTTTTTTTTAAAAAAAAAACTTCAGCAATCTTGCCAACACTTTATTAGGATCAATATTTAACTCATGAGCAAAATATCAATTATGACTTAATTCACCTTAAGCCCACCTAGTTACAAGTATTTGCTAACCCAGTTGTTCTTAAATGAATACCTATGTTCAATCTGCTATAGTAAATATTTATCTCTATACCAAACAACCCTGTATATGAATTACTCGATATATCACTAAATGGTATTTACAGCCTATCAAAATTGCTATCTTTTTTAACCTTTTTCTCTTAGCTTCCTAAGCAGAAGAATTCATAGTCTCTAACTGATTTATAAAAAAAAATATTAATACTAAAAGATAAAAAAAACAGAATAAAAAGGGTGAATAAAAAAACTGTCTAAGTAACAAGAATATAAAAAAAAAAAACAAATGAAAGAAGAAGAAAAAGGCAAAAAAAAAACAATTTATAAAAATACTATTATAACCTGTGTTAGGCACAAGTTGTAAAAATTATATACTAAATTTAAAAATCTTGTATATCTCTGTTGTAAGACTAAGCCTTATTATTAAAATTTTTCCGATAACCCAGATCAGTTCGTTAACCTTAGCACTGATTGGTTTATCACAGTGTAGAAACATTTTTGCCAAAACAATCTTGTGTTTATGTTTTACTTTATCTATCTGAAAATTGAAAGTGTAAACAATGCTGGTCTTTTAGAGAGGATAAGCTAGAAGTCTACTTTTGTCAAAATTTTTGTAAAAGTAGCAGAGAGGTGAAGTAAAGAAAAAAACTACTTGTATACAAAATAAAAGAGCGTAAGTATTTTTTACTAGATT